TAAAAAATAATAGAACCAAGAATGATAACAACAAATGTTATCGAAAATAGATATATATATATATATTGATGAAGAAGACAGACAGAGAAATTTTTCTCGTATTCTAGGAAGTTTTAAATGCAGTGGAATTCGCAATAACATAAGAAACACATATACACCATCATATTTGTTCATGAGTTGCGGCTGTCTCATGGATACCTTAATAATCTCGTGTATATATATTTATTATTTTGATTTTGAATCTTTGTTATTTTTGGGAATGATTTTTCTTCTTCTTTTTTTTCTTTTTTCCAAAAATATTGGAGTATACATCCTCAGAACTTTTAGGGCATAAATGCTACCAATTCTTTTATCCGGAAGACGAAACCCATATGCGTGAAGACTTCGAACTAGTTTTGAAGCTTAAAGGGCAAAACCACAGAAAAAATTCTCTGATGTATAAACTTCGAGTTAAAAATCGTGATTGTGTATGGTTAAGGACAACGCATTTTGCGTTTTTAAATTCGTTTAGCGACGACGTTGAGTACATCGTTTGCACTAACTCCCATGCGAAGTCATTCCATTCCGGTAGTGATGGGCAAACGGAAAGCGAAGCTGTACCTGCTTATGGACAACCTGGTCTATATTACTCTCTTCAGAAACATCCCATCAGGGATCCTATATATCCAGCGTATCATAAGATGCAACATCCCGCGGCTGTCGCTGCAGATGGTTCACAGCAACCTAGGCCTGGACGGTCTACTTTGGTACTGCTGGATGCTGTACACAAAATATTTATCAAGGATACGAGACTACTTAGTCACCTATAGCTTACGGTTTACCAAGTCAACAAAGTATAACTTCTTCTGTATTAAGTAGAACTCAAAAACCTGCACATACATCTCTGACTCCTGTACAACAGGCATGGGTAATTGGTAGTCAGCAACCTGTAATAGAAGGATATCAAATATAGTCAATTAAGTCCGTCTAGGTCACCGAGTGGATCGACCTATACGCAATTGAGTAGCGGTGTGAGAATACCAGCTACGTAATATCACGCAGTCACGACAGAATAATTTGTCATTGATAACAAACGAAAAAATAATTGGTCAATAGAAAATTCACGGAATTCGTGTAAGGGGCTTGGGATTTGGGAGTTATTCGGGGTACGTGGGTTTTGGGGATTTTTTCAAATAGTCGAGTAAAGAAAATGGAAAAAATATTTCTTAGAGATTTGATAAAACCTAACGAGGAGAGAGAGAGAGAGAGAGAGAGAGAGAGAGAGAGAGAGAGAAAAAGATAAGACAGATTGAGTAAAGTAGTTTTACTATCAACAACAACAACAACAACATAAGAGGAGGAGTAGTTCCGTACACTGCACCGTTGCAACGGCGTGTGTTGTGTGTCGTCTTTCTCTCCTCTCGACTCTCTCGGTTGGTAGTAAATAATGCCATGTGTAAACGTGGTTACGTTGGGGGCTCGGGGGAGGTCCTCCTCTCCTCCATGGAATAGCACATGCGCTCACAGAGAGAGAGAGTAATAAAGAACTTTTTTATGAATGAAACACAACTCGGTCGGTCGGCCGGTCCCTCCCCACTACCACTGCTACCAACACCCCACCAGCTCCACCAGTTTACCACCACCTATCTCTGACTCTCTCACTGCTGTCATACCCCCAACACACAGACACACATTACTAATACTTTTAATGCAATCATACATACACCACATTACAGCAATGTCTGTGTTGTTATGATAGTGTGTTAGTAGTAGTATATATTGTGTTGACAACTAAAGTTGTGTTATTGTATGATTGTAGTGGTGTAGTTGTAGGCTGCTGGTGTGGTAGTGCTGGGTGAATTGGAGGTGGTAAAATCACACGACTAACAGACTACTATATATTCTTATATTATTTATCACTCTCTCTCTCTCTCTCTCTCTCTCTCTCTCTCTCTCTCTCTCTCTCTCTCGTTTCAACTCTTTCATTTATCTTTGTCTACTTTTTTGTCTTTCTTGTTTTTTATTCGACTTTGAACTTTTTCTTTTTTTTTTTCTGTCTCTTTTCTTTATCTTCTTCTTCTTTTTTTTCTTAACACCCCTTTACTCGACCGAACTTGTAACAACTACCCCGTTTACTACACCCCCTGTTCGTTGGTTTTCAACCCTTTCGATTATTATACTTTTCTCTTCTCGTTGAATTATTCTTTAACTATTTTTTTTTTCTTTTTTTTTTAGTTAAATATTTTGGGGTATTTTTTTTTTCTTTTTTATAATCACATTCCGATTAAACCCTCTTATTTATTAATCGTATTTTTTAGGGATTCATTTTTCTTCGTATAATTAATACATGTATAAATACATGTGTTAATTTGTAAATTTTGTAAATTAATTTATAATAATTTATGATATTTATTATAGAATTACAATTGTCAAATCTCTCGACGAACAGACATTTGACAATTGTAATTTGATCGTTGTACATGGATAGATAAAATAATTGCAATGCGCTTAAAAAAAAAAAATTAAAAAAAAAAAAAACAAAAAAAAAAGGGGTATGTAACTTAAATACAAAGAAACAATTAAACAATAGTTTTAAGATGTGTAGATAAACAATAGATAAGTTAGATTTATAATCATTAATAAAAAAAAAAAAACCGGAACCAAATGAAAAACCAAATGTCTTAAAACAAAAACAAAAACAAAAAACTAACTCGCAACTCGCACATCGTTCAATAATATTAATATTAATAATAATATTGTTTAATCCCCCTTTTTTTTAAATTAAGATAAATTATAAATTAATTTCACTCATGATCTCATAGATTATTTATAAATAGAACAAAATCGTAAATTATTTGAAGAAAAAAATTGATGAAGTTTGATCCTCGAAGTTTCGATGGTTGACGGGGGTGGGGAACGAGAAAAATTAGAAAATAAAAAAAGAAAAAAGACAAGTGAAATAAAAATTCACCTCGTTCCCCCTTAAACCCCCACCTGCCCCCCCCCACCTCGTTGAATTGAGAATTGAGAATTTGAAAAAAAAATCAAATTCAATGTTATAAATAAATTAATTTTAAGTAGTAACAAAATGTGTATAAATGAAATACAAACGCAGCAACATTGTATTGACTATGACAAAGGATAAACAAAAAATTGCGTTTTTGATGAGATAAAGCGATGATAGAATCAGGGGGTGATGGAGGTGGGGATGAGAGAAGAGGAAAGGGTGAGACAAATGTAAAAGAAAGGACAAGGTGGTTCCTATTCCTTTTACAGGAATAGGAAGAAACTTGATGTCAAGGACAAACGAGAAGGAACGTTGCACGTTTATTATCGCACGCTCGTATCACATTAATTATTAATTTATTTATTTTGTGTTTTTTTTTTTTTTAATACGTACCGCCATATTGTTCTTTATTTAATTTTTTCATCCATTTCCAATACACGATGATGATGATGATAGTTTTGATTATTATTTTTGGATTTTTTTTTTTTTGTACACGTTTCTTCTCTTTGTTATATTCGTGTTTTGAGTTTTCAATTGAGGTATTATTATTTTATTTTATTATTTATTATTTATTATTTATTATATAAATAACTTTGTGTTCTTTTCTGAAGAAAATAAAAAAAAAACAATAAAAAAACACAATCATAAAACAAGGTAGTTTCTAAACTTTTATGATTAAAAAACTGTGAGCCACATAACATATTTTTATTTATTTATATTACTTTTGTTAATAATCATTTAAAATTATATTCTTTATTTTTAATTTATTTTTAATTTCTTTTTAGTTTTCAATTTTTTTCATGTACTAAATGAAAATTGAACTTTTCAGAATTTTGGTTTTTTTTGTTGTTGAAAAGTTATTATCTCATTGTATATATAAATATTTTTGTTCGTTTTAAAAACAAATCTTTTTATAAAAATGTGGGTAGAGTGTTTTGGTAAAATTAATATTAGGAATTATTAATTAGGAATTAAAAAAAAAAAAATTATAAAAAAAAAGTTTCTACCTTTTTAGTTGAGAATTTAGTTTGATTAATAATCGATTTTTATTAATCACGTTGGTATTATTATTTTTTAGAGTAGAAAAAAAGGTAGAACATTAGAAAACAATAAAAAAAAAAAATTAAAAAACAAATTTCTCCTTTTAGTTTGATTAATGATTAATTTTTATTAATCACGTTCTATTATTATTTTATAAAGTAGAAAAAAAAGTAGAATATTAGAAAA